AGAGCACCCTTCCCGTGGTCGAAAATACGAGTAAACATTACGAACACGTTGAAAACTATTTCTTCTCTGGTAGGGCAGAGATGAGATGCCGTTTAAATGTGGCAATTTGTTGATAAAATAATCACAACTGTCTTGTCTTCAACAGCTGGAGCCTATTTCAGGCAGGGCCGTGTTCCCTCCCTCATGAGGCCACCTAGAACGATAAATTAAAGATTAGAACGTTAAATATATGCATATTCTCAACAACTCTATCATTAGCATAACGGATCTTTGCGATCCTCTGATTACGTTTTGCCACGACTGAGCGGTCAATTGTGACGAATTGGCAATTACACTTTTTTCGCCACTCTATGGCCTCAAGATTTTTCTTGGATTCTCGATTTTCCATTCGAAATTTGAATCAATGCCGCGTTTCGAGACAAAGAAAAAATACTCAATTTTTGCTCAGAGAATTCAACGTGACTTCCATAAAGATCCAATATGAGAGGAATAGCCTTGCTTGCAAAGGGTTGAACGAGGTGAAAGAAAAAAAAAAGAAATCACGAGAATCGTAGGAACTCGTGACAAGATTATAGAGGTGTGTGAGTTACGGCCCTGGCTCTTAAGTTGATCGTATGACGTCGTCAAGTGAGTAATGCTCGTAATTCGAGCAATGCTATAAAATATTCGATTCAGAGCCGTAACAGACCCCGTTGTTTTCGTGTTTCCCCGGCACGTCCGCTGCCACCGCGTGCATGAACTCGGAACAGACCGGCTCGACGATAGAGGGACTGGTAATCCATGCTTCGCTCGTCCTTCCCTTTTCATCATCGAAGTCATTCAGTTTTAATTAATATAAATTGATATAAGATTATGGGAGGAGGAGGGAAATTCGATTCGCGATGATTTTTCAACGAGTTAAATCTAAAACTAACACAGATTAAGATAGAATCGTTTGGAAATATTTTATCTCGATTGTTATCGAGCTTATGATGATATACGTATATTAAGTAACTTAAATTATATCCATCTAATTGAAATCGATTCAATTTTCAAAAAGTTCGTATTCGACAGTTATTCGACTTGAGGATACAATATTTCTAAGGATTATACAGTTTGTATACGTGGTTTATTTGTTTAATGAGTATTTATGATTTTTATGAGTCATAATGGTAAATTGTGGTTAGATATGATTAATAAAAATATAAATATTCTTAATTTTATCTTATCGATTTATTTTAAACGAATCATGGATATTTTAACTGATCGTTACTGCATTTAAGAGACACATGTATCAAAATGCAAGTCTTTTTATTGCAAGTCAAACAATAAGAAATGATAAGCAACGTTTTATATTTCTTTCTCGTTGTGTCGCTTTAAAACAAGAATGGTTTCTTGTGTACAGTTTTTAATAAAAATATGTCAGTCATGCGATTCTCGTTAATTGTAATTTTAATTTTACTTAATGAATTACAAGAACTTCGTAATCTTTGAAAGACAATTCTTCGCCATCGAAAGGTATGTACAAGCATCCGTGACTGGCTTGAACCTGGTAAAAAAAGAATATATTCAATGATTATTCTCGTTTCTTAATCTCATTGTTAAACATTGAGAGATATGTTATTTATTCAGGTGCAATATCATTTATTCTAATTTACATAACACGTGTTAAACTCGTGTTAAATTAAAATCAGTGTTAAATTAAGTATATAGATTTCCTGTACGACAAAAGAAATAGTAAACTCCGACCTTGCCAACTGTTTGGGATCCATTATGGAGAACACGGCCAACATACAGAGGTTCTCCACTAGAGGTCTGTCCTGCGACTACCGCATCACTTGGGACAGCTCCATTGCTGCAGAACTCCCATGCGAATTCTCCTTGACACAAAACCTACAGAAAAAATAAGATAGCTTAATAACAATAGAGTTTTCGTTCATTAAAATTTAATTTTAACATCGTGAAATATTCAAAAAGAAAAAAAAAGTATGACGATCATTTTAATATTTTGATAATATTTCATGTTTCTCTATCTATGAAATATTAATGTGTTTTCAATAATTATAATTTCTTATCTCGAGTGTACAATGTTTGATGAAATGTTCCATATAAAAAATTTAATTGATTTTAAGTGATTCGAAAGATATTTGTATTCTTCGTAATGATGATGGTATAATAAATTAAAAAGTAAGGTAAATCATTTGAATGAATTAAAAATCGAGACGTATTTGAATTATCATTTAGTTAGCTTGAATTTGTTTTTAAATCATCAAGGAAAAAACTAATTTCAAATTGTGCTGAAGAGAGCTAAAGATTGATGCAAATTGTATAAATCGTATTCCAATTTTATAGTATGTTTGCCTTGACATGAAATCACGATTCCGTGTTTAAAAAGTGCATAAAAAGACTGTTTATAATTAGAATGAAAATTACAATCATTGTCAGAAAAATTTAATATTTATTGAAATTATTGAAATTTTCATTTCAAACTTTGCAATTTCATTTACAATTTAATTTTAATTTATAATTTGTTTTTTCTTTGAGGAATAAAAAAGCAAGATAATGAACGATAATGGAACATTTTTTGTTGGTATTAAGATTAGAGGAATTGCAGGAAAAATTTAATTTGATTCAACGAGATATGATACATTAAATTTTAATTCGATTTTTCTTAAATTTTCTAATTTAATAACAAAATTATATTCTTTGACTGTAATAATAAAATTTTCAAATTTGAATTAGAATTGAATATTATTTCACTTATTGAAAAATTATTTATTGAAATTGAAAAATAAGATTATAGTAAAGATAATTAAATTTTTTAAAATCCTTGAAAGATCTATTATTAAAATTATTGAAATTATGGATTTCAGATTTCTTGTTTTTATATATGTTATTTTTATTATTTTTATTTAAAGCTACTTTTAACAAAAGCAATATTGATTTTTATTGAGACAGAAAATGATTAGATATATATCTATTTATTTTCATCTTTTTTTAATTGTATAGCTTAAGAATAAGTTTTTTTTAGATAAATTTGTTATCGAAACAATGTTTTATCATAAACTATAAATCTAAAACTTAATATAATTTTTATAATTTCAAAAAAATTAATTTATTTTACATGTTTTATGAATTATTATTATTTGTTAATTTATATGTTATTAATAACAATTATTATATTACTATTAGATATTAAATTTATAAGATATTAGAAGAAGTTTCAAATATTACTGAAAATATGTGTATATATACGTAACTTTTATTGTTTATTCGAGTAATGAATAATTTTAATAAAAAAAAACAATTTTTTACATTTTACTCACTTCAAAATTGTGTTTACAATGTTCTTCACCATTATAACATACGTAGGCAACATTTTTATCAGGGATTACTTTTGCTGGAAGCATGTCACCCTCGTGAAAGG